ATGATTTTAACTTTCAGGTAATTTATACTTCATACCAATGGTGCGACTTAATGTGGCACAAGATTCACCATTAGCATTTGGCGAATGCACGAGAATTGTAATACATGGCTCCTTTCAGAAAACAATTTGCATTGGACATTGCTGGCTGCCAAGCTGCGAAATGATCTTGTTAAAAAAACTTTTCTTCATTTCCAATAATTAACATTTACCTGTTGTTTCGCAGGATATACAAGTTTTGAGAGAAGAGGCTCACATCAAACCGGTTTGAGAAAACTTTGATTTTAGTGCCACTTTTTTCTAGAATTATATTTTATTTTAGCTCATAAACAAATAATAATTTATATGAGTTAGAAGATGTGTCCCATTGATTTATTCAATGCATTCAAGCTCTCCACGCGACCATTTTAAATTAGTATCTAAATGCGCAAATGTGATTGAATATTCTGATGGAAGAACAACATTGCATATGATAATTTTAAGTTCCTTTTTTAAATAAAATTAGATTAAGTTTATGTGTGTTTGATCTTTTCTATCAGATCGGGATTTGAAAATTCGCCTGCAAATGATCGCCACACATTTGTGACATAAAATTTTTATTTCCGTTTTCTTGACTGACGTCTTTCTTATCCTTCAGGGGGACGACTTAATTCATTTCTGCAAATACGAGACAATGGATCGCGATAAACTCGTGCAGGCAAGTGCGATATCTGAGCCCTCAAAAGTCACTGATTAGTCTCTCCAAGAGTATGGGCGGCATTCAGAATTTAGATTGGCGTTGGTTTTCTCATAGCAGTGACACCTCTCTCAATCCCTATTTCAAGTGATTGCAACAAAAACATGCCATCGTTGATTTTTGCTATATATGCTTCATGACAGAGTGACAGATGATGTACTCCTATTCCACCTGCAGGCTGGTATCTCTACCACTCAAGAAATGTGTCTGAATTATATGTTTTACTATCCTCGAATGGTGAATGCCACAGCATATTGCTCCAGCTCTCTACGTAAGCCAGTGTACGACTTCATTAAAGAACACTTGTAAGTGAATTAGTACATACTTGTTAAAATAATTTTAAATTAGACCTGGTCTGCTGCTTAGAAACCACCCTAATACGTTAGTCGTGAAAATAATCAAAAGGAGCCTTAAAAGTGGGACAACAGCTCAAATAAAACCAGTGTTGCATGCTTTGCCAGCTTAAATCTTTCGCATTTCTCAACAAGAAGTCGTTTTTGGGAGCTATTTTATTTAATAATCACCCATCCCTGTTTAATTTCACAAGTACTGGCATCGTCTATGAATAAAAAAAGTAAGAAGTTTAACACTGAAGTATTGGTATTCGGAGCATTATAATTATTCCATAGATATGCTATTTGTGTATTTGGTTCAATCTTATACTGTCGTGCTAAGGTATCCCCCCCTGAAAGGAGGAAATGAATTTCTTTTACAAAGGGCTCTATCATAGCTTATATCCGCGTATTTCATTCTTCACGTGAAACGAAATGATCCGTCCAGCAAGTTTCTTGAAGGTAATAGAACATTCAGCATTGATCATGACTGGCATCCTTTCTTTGCCAAGTCATCAAGAAGCTGGATAAATCTCATTGGCTTTCTAGTCAACTTACACAGTGAAAAATGACCAACCCATGAATTTAAGCACGTAACTGTATTTACATTGCATTATCCTTATAACAACCTAGAGAACAAAAAAGTACGAGAAGAGTTGAAGAACACGAAGTGGATGACAAATACACACCATTACACCAAAAGAAGTGAACATGATTGCGGAATTAAACCAAAAATTGTTTAATAAATCGTATAGATATAGCATGTCTTGTTTTAAGCAATGTTAAATTTGAGTCTATTTTTAATTTAAATCTTCTTTTGTTTAGCCCTCTCATTGGGGCAAATATCTCATGGACGAAGGAATTGGCGTCAGACTTGAGGAAGAGACTCGATGAAGCAGACACATTTCTTTCATATTGCCGCGCGGTCAGTAAACTCAGGAGGGGGCACGACACTCGCTAAAGTTTACGTTACCATATAGTGCCACTCTTAAGGGTGGTAATGAGATCCCGACATAATGTGCATGAAAAGATGTCGAAATGATAAAACAAAACAAATTATGGGTGTATGATCATGGGTGTGTGTGCTTGTCTATTGGGTGGAGGGGATCCTCTTAATCTGGGATGGTAAATGCCTGGTCATAGGCATAGTTTTCATCGTAATCGTAGTTTTCTTTATCTTCAATCTGATTCAGTATGCAACAGTAAGTCTGCCACCTCCTTAGAGGAGTAAAAGTAAGTGTACAGCGCT